TCCGCGTCTCTGTGATTAGAGCTTCTTTGTATTTTCTCTCTAAAACATGTGACATTTAGACAAAAAATAGAAAAAGGTTGGTGTCAGCATGCGGTGGTGTTCTGATGTAGCGTCTTTTTCGGTATGTCCTAAATTAACCTCCCTAAAGACGTCCGGTTTCTCCAATACATTTTGTGGAGCACACGTTGCACTCAAGCTGATATACCGCATTTTTAATAGCACAGTTGCTAATTTAATCATTTTTTTGTTGTTGCTGTTGTTATACAATGGATGTTTATAGTCTGGTTAGTTCTTGGAAGATGAGGTGAAAATTTATTTGAAATTTTTCCTTGGTTATATGCCAGTTGAATCGACAGTCCAGATATTTATTTTGTTACTGAAATTTTCGGGGATAATAAGTACGATTAATTTGGCAGCCTGCTACAGATTATTAACTGGTTTTCGGCGACATCTTTCTTTGTTTTAGTCTAAGGAAGAAATGGCATGAGATATAAAAAAAAAGTCTTCCGGTGGCTTAGCGGCAGGTGTGAGCGGTTATAATGTTAAAGACTGGGTTTCGACTGGGGTGGGCTGAACACAAATAGCCCATTGTTCAGCTTTGTGCTTAACAACAAACAACATGAATTAATAATTGATGATTACTTATTTTGATTTCGAAAGTTTTTTACTTTTAGTTTTCTTTGGCTTTATTGTTTGGTTTTTGAATTTCGCGCAAAGCTACGCGAGGGTTATCTACGCTAGCTGTCCCTAATTTGGCAGTTATAGACTAGAAGGAAGGCAACTATTCAACAATACCCACCTCAATTATTGAGATATTGTTTTACTAATAAACAGGGGGATTGTCCGTCACGTTATAACGTCCCCACGCCTAAAAGTGGCAGGAATTCAAACCCGCGACCTTCAGATTGTGAGTCGAGCGCCATAACCACCAGGCCATGACAATCCTCTCTGGTTTTACCTTTTTTAGCCTTATTGCTACAGATGTTATCAGATCTGTGTAGGTGGCCACTGACTCTGCCTCGTGAAGGAAAATGTAGTCAACATAACCAGCTATTTTTTTGTTTTGATGTTGTTATACATTGTATGTTCATAGTCTAGCCGTTATGTGTTTGTCTATAATAAAGTTACTAAGGGTATCTGCTGCCGCCCTAAATTTTGAATTCCCGATCACAGGGAGAGAAACTGGCCGACACCACCAACTCTTGGGCTAATCTTTACCAATGAATAGTGAGATTGACCGTAACAATTTTAACTCTCCGAGGCTGAAAGAGAGAGCATGTTTGGCACTGGGTGTCTGGCTGTTGTAAATGGTTGTTTGTATGGTCCTATGGTGGGTCAGCAATGATTAAGTTTACGGACTTACAGAACTATAATCCGGGGTTCGATTTCTCGCTGTGGATAAAGCGCAGATAGCCGACTGTGTAGCTATGCACCAAAAAACAACAAGAAGTTGTTAGTGTATTTTGTTTTAGAAGTGTTATAAATATTCCTAAAAAGGTAAAATATTTTTTTAAATTGTCTTAACGATATTCTGGTATATATTTTGTCTGAGAAAAACGAACTTAAGGATATAGGAAATAGCATTCAGCAATCTGACCTTTAGCTCCTTTCTCACTAGTAGTTACACACATATAAGACATTGAAAAAAATTGTTGGGATGCCTTAGGATTCTTCAGAGTAGCAACTTTGTTCAGCAAATGACTTTTTTTCTCATTCTGTTAGTTGTATAGGGACTACTTTGTTAGCTTAATTTTATTATTCATAGCTGCAGAAGTCAATCCCATAATTCACTTGATAGCAGTGAAATTAATGAGAAGGACTTATTTAGGAAATATTATTACAATGCCCCAAAGTTTCAGCCAGTTTAAGTTTGTACTTATATACGAACAAGAAATAATACTGAACATAAAACTCACCTGAAATAAAAGAACTACACACACACATCTCAATCTACAGCAATCATATTCATAGAATTACTGTTAAGACTGTGATTCCAAATGCCAAATATGTCATCAATGTTCCGTAGTCTAATATCGGGAGAAATATCATGCAGCGATTTCCATTGAGAAAGAGCTGACTGTTCAAAAAGAAGCACGTAAAGGGCATCAAAACCTACGGTAACCACGTTGCCTATAACTACACGTTAATTTGACCAAATGTATAATTATGTTAATGGGTGGCATTAATGGGTTGTAGCTTGAGGGGTAAATGACATTCCTTAGAGCCGGCTCTGTTCCTTATAACTGTAATCCCTTCCTGAAAGGATGTAGAAAGAATACACTGGAGCAAATTCTTAGGTAAAATAGAATTTAGCTTGATAAAGTGGTTGATATTTTCAAGTAAAAAAACAAAAAAAACGATATATATGATAGAGATGTCTGTTCTAAACGGTGAAATAATATGTTTATAATTGCCAAGAGAGTGTTCTGTTCCAGTGGGTGAATCACAAGTAAATACTTTAGATCTCAAAGGGATATTGGGTTTGGGCTCTTTTGGTAAATCATAAAAACCTCATGTGATCTTCTGAGTGAGTTTTAAGTTTAAAAGTTCCCAGCTTAATAGAGAACTGTTATTTTTATGTTGTTAAGGGCTTGTTTGCGTTTATTTTGGTTCTTTTAATAGTTTTTTACTTATACTTGGGAGATATAAGTTGAGCTGTATTTAAGGTGTTCTTTTTTCTATTATATGTGACTGTTTTCATCATAATAAATCCTTCATTTTTATCGCTAAGCTTTATTATGAGATTCTTGTTGTTGTTTTTTTAAGCTTATCAGTACGTTTATATTTACTTTTGGTCAAGTTGGTCAACCGTTTGTCCCCAGAGCCGTTTAAAATATCTTGCAATTTCTTCTTTGGGATAATGAAGTTATATTCTCTAGCATCAGAAGAATTACGATTATTTAAAAAAATATCAAGCGTTCTGGTGATTTATTCGATGGAATATGTATTGTATTCAGCTTGAAATGTTGTTATTTGTGAAATAATTCGTTAATATTAAAAAAAATCAATGGGGGTATAAAATTTTACATTTATTTTGGTGATATATTTGTATATCCGGTCTGAAATGTTGTTCTTCTTGAAACCATTCATTACTGGTGGGATTGTTGTTAGAAAGATTGTTTTCCTTACATCTAAATAGAATGGAAACAGTTATGTAAGAAATAAATCATATCTAACTCAATTTTGTCATCAAGTAATTACCTAAAAACTACTAGTATACTTGTGTCAATGATTATTCTGTGGTTAGAAGGTTTCAAAAGAGCAAAATTCACTACCATCTATCGTTTTAGTAACATTTCATATGTGTAAAGACTTTTAGCAAATAACCAAATACAAATCTAATATTTTTTAAGTAATATTTTACAACTCTGATAAAAAAATGAATTGTTATTACTTTTATAAACAAAAAACCGCAGTCTGACTGAGTAGGTCACCTTACCTACTATATTTGTACTAATTTAAGATATTATTGACTCTTAGTATCAATTGTCTAATTCTAATCAGCGCAAATACGAAGTAAAAATATTCTGATTTGATTTGCCTTATCGTTAAAATAAGCTAGTAATACTTCGATTAAGTTATTTAATTAATTAAAAGGAAGGGTTTGTTTCTTTATTTTAATGCAAAGTTACACAAAGGTCTGTGTGCACTCTGTCCACGGCGGGGAATCGAGCATCTGCTTTTGAAGTTGAAATCCGTAAACTTACAGCTAAGCGATCGGGGGTATAAAGAGAAGTGAGAAAAACATCTGATATTTACCGCAAAACATCAAAATAGGCTGAAGATAAGCTATAATATACTTAGAATATAATTGTTTGTTTGTTGCGAAGCTGCACTTTTGGCTATCTCTAATGTTCACTGCAGGGATTGAATATTTAACATTTAGCCTTATAAGCCCTCAAGCTTACCGCTGTTTACATTCTTTTAGTTTATTATGTTTTGATGTGTGTGTGTGTGTACTTATGTTTGTAAGCCTTACTGGACTGCTAGTGAAGTACTAAGCCAAATTTTATAGATCATAAAACTAAGACGATCTGTGGTAATTGGTATTATTCTATCATCTACAGAACATCATGTTTCAACTATAATTTTAGGTCTCTCATCCCTTGATGATTTAAAACTAAACATTTTAATCGAGAGCGCTTATAACCTTCTTTTTTAAATAATGGAGTGTAAATTAAATATAAATTACGTATAATATTTATTTTTTAATGTTTTGAGAGGTTCACTGAAGTGTTATTATGCAGAGATATTTTAGTATAATTAATGGAAGATTGAATTGTCGATTTTCTTGACTTTACTATTTTCTTTTTAAAGAAAAGCGTATTGAAAGCCAAATAGACATATTCATGACACGATAAGGCTGGAAATCCATACTCATCAACTATTAACACCAAGCTTACGTGGCAGTCACTTTTCATTGTATATGGTAAACAACAGCCTAGATTTGGTTTAAGTTACTATTTTTTTCTACTGAGATAACTTGCAGATTAAATAGGACGAAAATCTACAAACGTGAATAATTCAAAAATACGCATCTTTTGTTTGTTTTTGTAGTTAAGCACACAATTACACAATGGGCTATCTGTGCTCTGCCCACCACGGGTATTGAAACCCGGTTTCTAGCTTTGTAAGTCCGCAGACATACCGCTGTGCCACTAGGGCGCAATACGCATCTTAAACTAGGAAACCACTCATTAAATATGCTATAACATTCAACGACAATAAATTTAACAGTTTAAAACACTAATGATGGCAATATTCGATTTTTAGTACTTGAGAACTTAGAAGTGTAATACAAGTTAATACATTAACGTGATAATTACAAGTTCTCAGAACTAATATTGAAATTCAGTTTGTTAAAAGTCTTGCCAATATAATTCAAGTGGGTATTTCAAAAATTGAAATACGAAAGAGGAAATCTAATTTTACGTTAATATAAGACCCAGGAGTCCCTCTATATATACATACTTCATGTGATCGTGTTTTGTTTCTTTCAGCGTTAACAGTCAGGTTCCTAACGAAGCGCTTTATTGGAGAATACGATCATCAGACAGGTAGGTGGAAAGGCTGGTTCTCGTTAGAAAGTTGTCAAAGCTCCAACTACTTTTAAGCTATTGTACACAATGCTCATGGCTGCGCTACGAGTATTCAAGGATGAGTATGCGTCTATAGATAGACACCGATATCTGTGTATATTGTGGTTTCAGTTATATTGTGTAATAGACATAGAATTGAGTTAGTTGTGAAGGAATGACATATATCTCGTGACCAAACTTAAGTAATATGAAATGTATGTGTGTGGGTACTGTTTTTTTGTTTTTTTACATGGCTAAGTTAATCCAAAATCTCTCTCTATATATACGTGTATACATGTCTATTTAGAATTACATAATAACCATCTTCCCCTACATCATTTTGACATAGAAGATTATTAAAGGTTTATGATAATAAGGAAGAAATAAGGTTTTAGTGGTCTCCTGATGGGTCAGCGGTAAGTTTATGGACTTACGAAGCTAAAATCCGGGGTTCGATTCTTCGTGGTGGACAGAGCACAGATAGCCAGCCCGTTGTGTAGCTTTGTGCTAATAACACAACAACTTTTAGCGATAGAAATTATCAAGAAGACATTACAGATCGTCGCTGCTTTTTGTAGTTGGACCAGCATGGCCAGGTGGTTAGGGCGCTTGACTCGCAGTCTGAGGATTGTGTGTTCAAATCCCCGTCCCACCAAACATGCTCGTCTATTCAGCCATGGGGCGTTATATTATGACGGTCAATCCCACTCTTCATTGGTAAAAGAGTTGGCGGTGAGTGGTGATGACTAGCTGCCTTTCCTCTAGTCTTTCACTGCTAAATTAGGGACGGCTAGCGTAGACAGCTCTCGTGTAGCTTTGTGCGAAATTCAAACCAAACTTTTGATGTTTGTTTTCCCATGCGAAACAAAGAACCCCTGACTGTGAAGTACGAACTTGTGATACTTTTAATTTCAAATTACTTTTTCAAATGCTGTGCCAAATATCAATAAATCTGAAAAGACTTAATGAGAGCTGTGTTATCAGAAGGATACAAGTGCTTAAAAATGACTAATTCTGATAAACAACTTAAAAAACTTGAAAATGATTTACTTTGGTTGTCCTTATTTGTATAAGACTGATCAAGAAAAATGAATTTTAATTTGTGGCGATAAAAAGACACCACTTTTATAGGTTTCTTGAGGAAACCTACTGCGTTACAAATTAAAAAAGGAATTACAGTTTTTACTATTAAAAGTTTTATCTAAATGTTTCTACTAACTGCTTGTATTGTTATATCTGGTTTGCAGTGCTTTATATTCAGAACAATCTATAAGTCGTAAGATCAAGATTGCATATACTATATAGCATGTGAAAAGATATACATGTATAATAACTCCCACTAGACTGTCCTAATAAATTTAACACATTTCTAAGTTCAAAACAAACTTATAGTTACGTACTTTATTGACCCTTTTGCATTCTTTTAATTAGTAAATTAGAAGGTTATTTTCAGTTTGTAAATCAATAATACATCTATATTGTTTCACTCACTCTGTTTAGTTTAAAAACACTTAAAGCCAGTCCACGAGGTCTGGTAATTCGCATCTCCTGTTGGTAACCTTGGTGATTAGCAGGATACCACATGATATTAGGGAGAGTACAGTCAATATTCACCTAAATATGATTTTTAAACGAGACCCAAAACTCGAACGCTTTTGAATAGTTAACTATTCTTCTTCAGATGAATAAAGAATAATAGTGAACTATTCGAAAACACTCGAGTTTTGGGTCTCCTTTGAAAACCGTTACAACTTTTATATGTGATCCTGTGCACTGACTTCTTAATCAGAATTGACCTAAATATGAATCATCGTCATCCATTGTGATAGCTTGAAATGTTGGTTTTGGTGCAGCCATCTTTAAAATCCTAATGACATATATGTATAAGCTATGTTAATTATAACTTTTATTAATTATGTACATAATTACAGAGCCCCTGTCTTCATATTCTCATTTATAAAATGTAAAGATGCTAAAAGAAGGCGATTCTATGATCATTAAATTATAGAACCATCAAATAATATAAATTAATTTAGAAGTTTTTAAACGTTGCTCTGAATTTTTGTTATTTTTAATCATTTATTATTTTTATATTTTTAGCTCTTTCTCATTTATTTGTTTATTCGTATCTTATTTATATACAAGTGTTTTGTTTTTACAAGATATGAATCTTTATAAATCAAAACGATATTAAAAATTCTGTGCTACGTAAAGTTGAATATTTTTATTTAACAAAATAAAATAGAATCTGAACTTGTTCAACTTACTTTAGCCTCCCAGTGGCTCAGCGTAAAATCTCAGGCTCACGATGCTAAAAAATCGGGTTTCGATACTTGTGGTGGGAAGAGCATAGATAGCTGATTGTGCAACTTTATGCTTAACAGCAACCAAATCGAGAACAAAACAACTTACTTTATCACACATAGGGGACGTTTGCCCTTTTATTGTTATAAGCACGACCACATTAAAGCATCAGTGGGCCCATACATAAGCAGCTTCAGCACTGTGCTCACTCCCTTTCTCCATAAGCTCTTTTGTTTTTGTACTGAAATTTTACTCATCAAAACCACCTTTTTAACATATACATGATTCTTTTAAAATGCCACAGTTCCAAATTAAAATTATCTGAAAAGGCTATTATAAAATAACATAAGCACTTTGGGCTCACTGACACAGTGGGCTCAACGGCAACTGTCTACTCTGCTTTTAGTTAATCCATCTCATATTATAACATAGTACATACATACGATCTCATCTCGGTAAAGATTCAGGATTTAATACCCAGGGTCGGAAATTAAGCAAATTATCCAAATATAATTACTAAAGAGAAAGTTGTCAACAATGTCTTCTCGTGTACAGTAGAAAGGCTATGAGTGAAGTCGGTGGTAGTGATTATAGCGTATGCAGTGGGGATCAGTACATCTTATGTAAAATTAAATGTAGGGTGAAAAGCCAATGTAGAAATAATCATATACTAGTATCCTCATACTCCTTATGGCTATACTTCTACCAAAACATGTTCTTGATAGATAGATCAGAGGATTAAAAAAAACTTGGCAAAGTATAAAATAAAACAAAAACGAGAGGGTTCAAACTGTATCAAATGTACGAGTATCTTACAACTGCAGTTCTTGTTATGTGGTGTAAGTTTTAATTTCGTCTTCTCCACAGGGAAGATACATGTTATGTTTTCTTTATTTATTTCTATTTTTCCAGTAATCAAAATAGTGCATCATTCTTTTATTTCTGGGCCGATCTTCTTGACATTTGCAGAAAACACACCTTGGTTCAATATGCCCAGAAATATATATATTTTAAATTTAAGTTCCCCTTTCCAATTTTAGAAGGAAGTCAAAGGTAAAATATTATAGAAACACATATTTTAGCCTGTAGTTCCCTTATATTACTATCAATCTAAATGAGACATCGCACAAAGACACCTTGAAACAACCCCCACAGACTAAAGCAGACCTGTTTAGGATTCGTGCCTTTTTTTTTTTGGTTTGTTAGAGGTTAAACAATTTTCCTATACATTCTAAGGTCACAACTTATTAATATGCTTTGATACATCTTTCTTACAAATACGTCTCATCTTGATATTGTGTTAAGTGTCTACCCCTCTGAAGTATATACGCTGTAATTTATGTCTCAATTTACTGCCTTGATTACTATTTTTTCTTGAAATATACTGTATTCTGAGAGCTTTATTAAATAAGATGCATTACTAAGACGTATTTCATTCTCTTGCGAATGTTAGCCGTTTTAGTTATTACCATTTTTCTATATTTTGTTAACAACTCCAAAGTTTAAAGTTTTGAAGAGTAAGGATTTTTTAACAATCATAAACGATTAAACGTTCTTCGTTAAAGGTTTGAGAGTAAGAAAAATGTACACTACTTAAGGAATCTCAAGACAGAAGAAGATGAAGATTTTATATTTTCTAGTGAGATTAGAACCCCATATAATAATATAAGTAATGCTCTTGTGCCACCCCCTCTCCCCCACCCAAACAGAAAGTATGAAACTGTTACTATTTACGGAACTTTGACAACATATGTATATTTCAATCGTTTTATTTATTTCTTATTTGTCGTTTTGAATTTATTAATATTTTCAATATTATTATGGAATATGTTTTAAAACTATATTGGAATAGAATAAATATATATATATATATTTTAATTTTGTTTAGAGAATCGTTATAAGAATGAAATGATGGTTGATGGAGAACCAGTGATCTTTGAAGTTTTAGACACTTGCCCAAAGGTACATTTGTTTCGGAGCTCTTAATTATTTATGTTAAACAAAAAGTAGCATTATTAAGAATATGTGTTTTTTTTAAACGTAAGTCATCAGAAATCTTCTGTTGTGATTTTTTTCTTAAATTATGTCATTTTCGGATCCTTTTTTAATATTTTTACCACTTTATCTATAATCGGGTATGTAACTATTGTTTTCACAGTTTCACTGACATACCACAATTTATATGTCAAGGTACAGTCACAGTGTTATATGAAGTTTTGATGATACTAGCACTTCCTAATAAAATATTACTTAAGTGGTAAAGGAACTCATTTACAAAGAGTCTCTGTCACACAGTAACTAATAGGTAGAATTTATTTCACAAAAACTGAATATCAAACGAAAGTTGAAAAGAGTTCTCATCAGAGGAAACTAAGTATTGGCAACATGAATAATATAGAAAATTCTTCAAAGAAAATCATTATCACACAGGAATTGATAAAGATTATTTTTCATGAAATATTTCAGTTATAGAGAACCTAGTAAAAATAGTCCTTTACAAGGCATTACTGTCACACAGGGCTAATAATCTTTCCCAAAGAAACGCTGCTATAAAGGACCTGATAACCTTTCTCAAATAACTCGCTGTTTTCACTTAGGATATAAGAAAGAGAATAGTCCAAAAGGACCTACTGTCATAGAAGTTCTAATAAATATTTATCTTCACAAAGAACCAGTTCATTTAAAGATCGAAATTAGCAGCAAATATTTCAGTTAAAGAGTAGAAGCTAACAAAGAACAATTAAAAACATAAGGGGCATAATAGTTGTTGATTCGTTTGTTAAATAAAAAATAAAAGTTATAAAGTTTTTACAAGTGGGATTACAATGTAAACTAAATATCTATAGGAATATTAAATACTAATAAATTTTTGTTTGTTTTTCTTACAAAATACTTAATTTTTTCAGTGATATTAAACACCTAAGCAGGCGAAGCAATGAGGATTTTTACGTTTAAACAAAAGTGATTAAAATCATGCTTTACAGAAAATCTGCCTTTTCTTCTTACATCTTAATTAATTTTAGATTTTACGGCTTTCGAAATTGAGGAGTGAAAACATACCATTTTAAGTTGTTGTTTTTTTAAACCCTGGGCAGTGAATTGTAGCAGACAAAATAGAGAAGTGAGTTTCTTGGTTGTTGTTGCTGAGTTAAACAGAAGTACATGCTTGTAATTTTCTGTTTAGGTAGAAGGTGCGTTTCCTAAAGAAGAAACACTACACTGGGCTGATGGCTTCATGTTAGTGTATTCTATAACCGACAGGAGCAGCTTTAATTATGTGAAAGAACTTCGACAACGTTTAAGACACAGTATAGCCACATCTAGCAGCACCTCAACACATCAAATGCCCTATCCAGTTTTAATTGTGGCAAATAAATCGGACTTAATTCACTTGCGGCAAGTCGGCACTGAAGAAGGTAGAATTACTTTTAACTAGTCATTCCTAATAACAATAAAGAAATATCAGGATAGGGAAGAAAACTGATATTATATAAATCTATTGTGAATATGTTTGAAAGGATAGATGTATGTGAGGAATCACAACAGTGTAATAAACGGAGGTTGAGAAACAATGGGCCACAGTTGGAAATGTTTTAAGAATTAAGCATTCAAAAGGAGAAGTCTGTTTGTTTTGAATTTCGCGCAAAGCTACACGAGGGCTATCTGCGCTAGCCATCCTTAATTTAGCAGTGTAAGACTAGAGGAAAAGCAGCTAGCCATCACCACCCACCGCCAACTCGTTTACCAACGAATAGTGGGATTCACCGTCACATTAAAACGCCCCCACGGCTGAAAGATAATGTTGATAAAACTTGCAACATGATTCAATAGTCGTACAAGTATTAACATTTATTTTAGTTTTTATTTTTCTTGGTTACTTTCTATGAAATAGCGGATATAAAATCGCAGTGAAACGCCATTTATCAGAACTACATTTTGACGTTTCGTAGATAGTGCTATGTGACCAAAAATCTATATCTTTAGGGAATGGTGTGTAAACACCTTTCCGGCGCAAAATATTGACACGCTCACATAATAACGATGTATTCAGATTGGGGATTTTGAATTTCCAAGACGGAGATATTCTTTGTACTTAATGGCATTGGAAAACAAAGGAATGTGGATTATCTTTGGGTACCAGGACCTCCCAGAAACAGATCTACAGCAAGGGTACCCAAGTCATGGTAAGCAAAGTGTTGCTTCTTATAAAAGGTGAGAATCCATGAACATAAACGTCAGAGGAAAAAGCCGTCCACGTGTCCCAGGTAACAGTATGCAACATGATAAAATAATCTTCGTTTGGAAAAAGCAATACAAGTCACGTGCACACAAATTGCTTCCACAACATATCTATTCAACCGTTGCATATCTCAAACATCTGGAAAATGAAAAGGGTATTCATGCTATTCCATATGAAAATATACAGGTTAAGTCGCCAGATGTGCAAAAGACATTTGAATCGGGCGCTGTGAAACCTTCGTTCTCGGACACTAGATGGATTATAGAAAGTAGCAGGAAGGAAGGGTGTGTTTTGGACATAATAACTTTTCAATGGAAACTACTTTGCAGAACTGTTGTGAAGATGCACAGTCGTTAGACAGAGCATGACTGGACGTAGCGATATGGTGAGGTTACAAATTTGATTTAATATAACGTAGTTAACCTCTGTACATTGACATTGTAAGTAAGTGTGTACTTTTCAAAGAATCAACAAATACTACCACAACTAAATAAAGTAAAAAATTATGTAATAACAGTATATCAAAATATATAAAAACTAAAACGCTTAAAAGGCAAATTCAGTTAATGTTATTGAAAAAAACAGCAAATATTGTTGACTTACGTTGCAAGAATGCGCCGCTGAAAGAACCTGATTTTGTTTTCAAGGAAACTTGTTGACAGTTAAGTACAGTGATTGAGAACGAAACCGGGGTGTAAAGACAGTTGACTGATGCACTTAGCAACTGTACCAACAGAGAAAGAACAACATATGATTTAAAAGTTTTAGGTCAACGTGTAACAAAATTAGTCCAATGTGTTAGATTTTGGAATGCTAAGCCAGAGGTGTATTCTGGCATTTCTTCACACACACTGCTGATATTTTGTCTAAGAAATGTAATATACAGAAATGTTAATTCAAATTTAATTATTGAGTAGAAATTGTGTCAACCTTTGAATATAAATTGTTTCTTTCAGAATTTTACTGTCTAACTCTTAACAAAATAATCTTGAGAATTCATTTCTCAGTATGTGGTTGTAAATGTATTTCAACACAACATTTAATCATCTAAGGGCTTTTAAGGTTTTCTTTTTATTCAGATAATTGAGTGTTAAATTTCTACTTTATCTTCTAGATTGTTTTTATACGACTGAAAAGAAGGAAAAAAAAAGTTAGAACAGAAAATATAATCTACGTTACCAGAAGTACAGTATATTAAAATATTTGAAGTTGGTCACGTCACACTTAAACATTAATTTATGTTTGAAACCCAATTATTAGAGCTGTTAAAAATAGCATTTGGCACAGTTAATGAACATACATATACAATAAAGTGCAAAAAATAATAAAAAGAAGTTGAACATTTCAAGGTATGGAACTAAAAATGGGTATGTTTTTGGCATTCCTACTTTTATCACACCTGACGGGTATACTTTGTAACACAGTTAACAAGCTTATAAAACCCAATCTGTTGCTATAATGAACATCATATTCATTAAAATGGTACATTCAATCTGATGGTTTGATCCTAATCTTAGAGTTCAGTCCGTATTATTTTGTTCCAAGTGTATAAAAGGAACTTTTTTTTTCTGCAAGAAACGATGACGTAAATCGTCCATTTCTTCACACAAAATTCTTCAGTTCGGGAGATGATCCGAAAGATAAAGTGTTTCTAAACTGCACTAACAGAGACGACAAGACTTTTCTTCTTCCTCTCCCACTGACTTCCTGGCAAAGCGTCAGCTCTTGACTACAGGTGCTGGAATATCTCAGTGTTTCGGTAATAAGATTCCCGTCTTAGTGCCCTAATTTATGTTGTTATGGGAGAAGTTGTTCACTTTGCGTACGTGCCTGTAATGTTTTAAGATCAAAGGAGGGGGATATTACGAAAACCGTCCATTGTTAATAAATTGAAATTTTTATACTTCAGATAAGTATAACGGGTTTTTTTCCAAGTCTTTCATTTTACTTTGCTGACGCCTGATTTGGTTGTAATTCACCAAATAAACTTTGATCTCATTTCGTGTAAGTGAGGCAGAAATAATTTATTCATTTCATAATACTTTCTATGGAGATCTTACAAACTTCTCTACAATTTATGGACAAGAATATTTTGTTAAATATCAGACACATAAACAGCGGTGGTGTTTCTTCTTGTCTTAGTAAATAAACATTAACAGAAACTTCAAATATATTGCATGAAGTTTACTGCTTTTCTTTTAATGTATGTTTTCTTGTGTTTATAGGAGAGATTTTTGCTAAGGAAAATGACGACGGTTTTGCCGAAGTATCAGCGTCAGATCACGTAACCCAAGTATCGGAGGCGTTTGACGCCCTCTGTCGGGAAGTCCACGCCTTCAGGAGAAGATCTAAGCAATCGTTACTGGACAGGATGTTGGGAAACAAAGGAGGAATTAAAAATGACACTAATAAGAAGTGATACTTCTGTGACGTACTTTCGTGTTTTACTTGCATGGTAGCTGGTTAACTTTTATGTGACATCGTCCATCAATTTCAAGGAAGAAACTCCGAGTTATCATTTGCGGAACTGTACATCCATCATGGACTTTTTATGAGTGTGATTATCTTGATTTTTGTTGTAAATACTAAATAATTTTGCTTTAAAGTTATTCATCTTTGACCCAAATAATCTTGTCACCGCTAAGAAATCGAAGAGAAGGATTTAAAGCACGAAGATGTAAAATAAAATGTTATCTAATTTTAATGACTTCACTTTGTCGTTTCTTCGAATTCTACGTGAATATGCTTGCTAATCATAATACTGATACCTATTACAGCTCTTTTTTAAGTTTTTAAATTTGATCACATCGAAAATTTCAACAATCGAGATAAAAACAGTTAACATATGTGAACACCTAAGAACTTACACAAACTCCACTTGGCCTCGATAACAACTGACTTGTCTTCCTGATATGCAACAATTTAAGTAACTAAATTTATTAGTATTTAAAACATATCTTATTCTTGCGAATTTTATTAATAGCATGTTTAGATTATAAGGAAGAAACAATAAAAATTATTATTACGTGAAATTTATTTATTATTAATTACAGATTAGATCTGAGCATTTCAACTTATGCTATTTTTTTCTATTTATTATTAATTTATGTTTTCTTAATAACAGACTCAAACCGGCATAGAATTAAATTTTCTATTTATTTTACGAGATTCTTGAAATAATTTTAAACAGATGTTTCTCACAGTTGTTCAAATTACTTACTTATTTTATTTGAAAATTGCAGGAAATGTAGGAACGAAACTGTTTTTCTCATTGTTTCGAAATCAAGAAACAGCCTTGAAATTCAAAACTCTATCTAAGCAAATAGTTTTATTAGTGTAAAATAATGATTCTCTTGCAGCCGTCCTGTTGGTGACGTTGCTGACTAAAAGGTTGAAAAAGAAATTAACCATTGTAAGCAAAGGCCACAATACAGAGAGATAAATATAATTATTTGAATAATGAACTGAAACAAGTAAAAAATTGTACTAATTCAAATAAACGTGTTAAGGTTAGAATGACATTTAGACAAGTTAAAAACCGAATTGGAATAGAAAATTCAGAGAGCACTTTTTTATTATACTGATTTTATATCAATCTTATAGGATTACAAAATAAACTAGGATTTTAATACGAAACTACTACTCTTTCATCACAGCTCCAATTCACTTATAAAAAAAAACACACACTCCCAACTTCTATTACATTCCCGTTAAAATATGATTCGACTTTCAGTAAGGGCTTGAGTATCCTACTTAATTGTTTTGAATTCGAAGACAAATGTTTACGTTATATTACCATAATTAGTGACGGTTATTAACAAAACATGAATTCTTTATAATGTGGCTGTGATCTAAATTTCACCCAGGCATATATTAATTTGAAATATTAGTTGTGTCCACCTCTGCGTACATAAATACGTTGGTTTTCTTGAAAACTGTACCTTCTACAAGGTTACCGGACGTCCCAGTAAGGGATCATCCCAATTTGTAATGTGATTTTTCTGTCCTGATCGGAAACAGTAAAAGTATTAAGATGTTCCACTTTTTATATACCTCAGTGGAAGTTTGGTATGTACCGTTTGTCATTATACAAGGAAAATCACTTGACAAAAACAAATCACACGATATAGTGCTCTCTCTCTGCTGCGATTTCTTTGAGCAACTGCAGGAATTGAGATTTGAAGATCTGCCCAACTGCAAGAAAAAAAACGAAGAAGCAACATTTTTCTTCTGAGTAGGTTCAAGATAACTTAGATATGTTTTTAATTTTCTTTATTATATTTTAACGAGATAAACTTTCAACAAATTTTGTCTATCGCTTTAAAATGCTATGCAATAAACATGCGATTATTTACCAAATGATAAAAGTGTGGTGTAATTTAATCCGTGTCAGAGCTGTTACATTGTCACTCTGTATGGAAGGAAAAAAAAAAAAGGTCCCAGTTTTCCACTCTGGAAATTTAGTAACCCTAACCTTGCGGTGATAAACAAACTTCTCTCATTAAACACACTTTCTACGTAACGTACTCTACTCTTTGGTAAAAAGAAAGAAAGAAAAAAAAAGATTGTTATTCACAAACATTATATATAATTTTTTTGTATTGACGACTGTGTGTTTTAAACGCAAAACTACACAATGACCTACCTACACTTTGCCCATAGCTTGTATCGGTTTTCCGCGTACAAGTCCTCAATCTCGCCGCTGAGACAGAGAGCGTACCAATGTCAAGGTAACTGAACACAGTAATAAGATATTGGTTATTTTTCTAGGAAAGCATCAAACGCTAAACACTCGAGTATATCTTGGTT